CCACAAGCACATTTGACAAGTTTCACAACGTTTTGCCGTCACGGAAAAGCTGACAACAACTAGCATGCTAACTGCACACTTCCTGATTCTTTGACAGTAGTTCATTTTAAACAGTTTGCAGTGGTTATCTCATGAATTGAGAGCATCTTAATTATTCAACATGAGGAGCTTAGAAGTGCTTTTCATAATTTTCAGAAACCATAGCAGAGACCAGTGTTGGGGAGTAACAGATTAATGTACTGGAGTTACGTAATCAGAGTACAAATTATGAGTAACTGTATTCGGATACAGTTACTGTTTAAATGAGCGGTAATTGGATTACAGTTACTTGGTTAAAATAAATGGATTACACAGAGGTATTTTCCTGTTTTCACATTTTGGGCTATATCCCTTTTTTTTTTTTTTTTCCAGTAATTCCACTCCAGACCAGACACTAACCCAGGTCTAAAACCAGGTCAAAACCAAGTCTAACCCAGGTCTAAAACCAGGTCTAAAAAAGGTCTAAAACCAGGTCTAAACCAGGTCAAAACCAAGTCTAACCCAGGTCTAAAACCAGGTCTAAACTAGGACTAAACCAGGTCTAAAACCAGGTCTAAAACCAGGTCTAAACCAGGTCTAAACTAGGACTAAACCAGGTCTAAAACCAGGTCTAAACTAGGTCTAAACTAGGACTAAACCAGGTCTAAAACCAGGTCTAAACCAGGTCTAAAACCAGGTCTAAAACCAGGTCTAAACCAGGTCTTAAACCAGGTCTAAAACCAGGTCTAAACTAGGTCTAAACTAGGACTAAACCAGGTCTAAACCAGGTCTAAAACCAGGTCTAAAACCAGGTCTAAACCAGATCTAAACCAGGACTAAACCAAGACTAAACCAGGACTAAAACCAGGTCTAGGTCTCAAACAGGATTTAACAGGACTAAACGATGCTGCGCGGACGTGTCTCCTCGTCTTCTATCAATAATATTTTTAATACGGTTAAGTAAAGACTGGGCTTTTTATTTTCTTTTAGCAGATAAAAGATTTTATGTGAAGATTTCTTCGTCTTTGCTTCTCTACAGCAAACCAAGTAATCCAAAGTATTCAGATTACGTTACTCACCTTAAGTAAATTAATGGATTCCGTTACAAACTACATTCTGAGGTATGTAATCTGTAATCTGTAGGGGAATACATTTTAAAAGTAACCTTCCCAACACTGGCAGAGACAACAACTAGCAAGCTAACTGTGCACTTCCTTATTTCAGATTTCAGTTTCTATTTACAGTTAGATGTAGAAAGCGCACAGAGGGCTTATATTTTGACCTCGAGAGCTGCTTATACAATAAATCTGTACTGAAGCAAGACAAGTTTTGCTCCGTTAAATAATGATCTACTCGAGTTGATTATCTAATCAAAAACCCGGATGAGTTTCTTACTTACAAGGTTGCCAGATCCTTGAACAAAATTGCTCAGTATTCACCTAAACCCCAGGCCTACAGCTAATGCATTAAGCCGTTTAAAAATTCTGTAGATTCTTCAAACAAAACATGGTCTATCTATATACGGAGAATAAGAAGAACTTGTGTCAATATGTAGATTAAAGCCTTTACCCATTCTTTTTTCCAAGTCTTTGAGCAAAATTTTCCTACTCCAGCACATATATAGGCTCTTGTATAAGCAGTTCTCAGGGTCAGTTCTTGCACCGACTCATGAAGTGTTTTATTGTCGGATAATTAGGAAGTGTACAGTTGGCATGTTTGTCGTTGTCAGCTTTGCCGTGACAGCAAAACTCTAGCTTTAGTCTGTCAGAGTTGTGAAAAGTACTTAGAAACTTATCACGGTGAATAATTAGGACGCTCTGACGCTACTTTTATATGATAACGATCTGAACAGAAGACACAAAAGTGGCGTCGTGTCTTCATTTTTTATTCCATGTTTAGACAAGCGTTTTTGGGAGGAAATCTGCGTGCATACGGTGACGCAAAAGTGTGTTGGAATTCGATTGGGTATGCACGCCAGGCGGCTACGTGGTGACTCTAGGTGGTGATGTATGTGACGTAAACGCGTACGCGATGTGAGCAGATCTGACCAGAGTTTTGCGTCTTGGGCAGTGTAGACGAAAACGCTACGGCGGAGCGTATTCAACTTTCCCACTCTGGAGGGTGGTTTCAGATTTTTGTGTTTTTAAGCCCCAAAAACGCCATCACCGCCTAAACGAAAGGTACTTCTGATAAAATATTTTATCGTTTTTCCAAGCAAACATTTTTAATTTTGATGGTAAAAATCAGGTACAGCTCCCAGACAAAGTAGTATTTGTAGTACAGTTTCAACTAATAAGTAGGGATGTAACAATATCCAAATCTCTCAGTACGATATTATCACAATATGCATCTCACGGTACGATATTTACTGCAATATTTTGAGGAGGCTACCACAATTGCAGATTGGACACTTTTTCACTTTTAAAATACCTTGACAAGATTTTGGTGTGAATTTTTTCCGTCATAATCCCAAGAATTCAAGTGAAAAACATATGTCTTCATGTTGTCTGCACTGAAATGAATCATGGGATATGTAGTTTCCAATGTTCATAAGATGTTACTACAAAAAAACATGCATTTAAGCAAAGGAACTTGTAATTCGATATATTGTGACAGTGCATGATATTATTGTGAGATGACTGAATATCAAGAGCACAACTTCTACCTTTAAAGGTCCTATAAAATTGACTCTTGTGAGCTTTAAACCATGTTAGAATGTTTTTACCTCATATAAAACATAGGAGTTGAGTTTTAATTCATTCACACACGTTTGAGTAACTTTATTATGTCTGTCTTTATCTCCAGAGCTCAAAATGCTCTGTTCCACCTTGTAGTTTTCAAGTTAACAGCTACCTCTTACGTTTTGTTCAGTAGAGATTGGCAATTGCAGAGCTGAAATTATCCAAATGATTCTAGTGAAGGCGTATGAAGTTTAAAAACACAGTGGAGCACTTCCTTTATTACCACAGTGAAAGAAGAACTCATTCTAAATATGCAGGATTTGTGCTTTAACCATGTGAGAATGAAACAAAACACAACTCCAGGTGTGTTTGTGATGAGAAAACACCAGAAAATAACATAACACGGGCAGCTTTAAATACAAAACTATAACCTAAGATGATTATAACATTTTGTCTCGGCTTGTATGATCATTTTCAAGTCTGTTTTTCTTCCCGCACATGTGACAGTGACTCCACGTTTCCCTCTTTGTACGCTCCCCGCTGTGTGTGCTAACAGGGACCTCCCGGCAGGCTCCACGCATTTTCAAACTTCTAACATGTTTAAAATTAAAATCTGAAGCTCTGGTCTGGACAGGAATACCCATGTTTCTGATAAATAAGTCACATGTACGCGCTTGGAGATTTAGAAAAAAAATTATGAAAAAAGTGAACGCTGGGCTGACACATTAAAGACGCCAACAGGCTTTGAAATGACAGTAATCTACAGGCTCATTTTCACAGAATTATGCATGCTGTTACTGCTGTTACTTCACAGGTTTTGCAAGATAAACAAGGGGATGTGGAGAAGTGTGCCACAGCCTGAGCTTACGTAAAAGATGTGTTTAATTGTATGAAAAAAAGAACTGTTTGTATAAATTAATTGTAAAATGCATAGAAAGAAGTAAAGAGTTTAGCCAAGGCAGTATCTGAGTTAGGGTAACTTTTTTTATTGGGTCTGTCAGCTTTCTGTTTCCATGGAGATGTTATTGCGTAGAATGTTTCACAGTATGGCATTCAGACAAGTATGTGGCAAGACTGCACTGTCTTTAAAGGTTGTATAGAGGATTTTCCAAGGAACGAGAAATCCAGCGACTGTTTGTCCTTTTTCAAATGTTGCGCATGCGTGAAACCACCCCCCTCCCCTACAGCTCCTACGTAGAAACGCCTTCCTCCCGCCTCCTCTTTACGCCAGAAACAGGTTTGTTTACAGCCGGTGCGCTGCACATGACTTGTAAACAACTAACTACAGTGTTGGTTAGGCAAGGCGGAGAAGTGAGGAGCGGGGAGAGGAGAGAGGAGAGGGGAGCGGTGCGCGGAGATTCCATGCCCGGAGAAGTGAGGAGCGGGGGAGCGGGTGTGCGGACATTTCGTTCACGGACGAGAAGTGAGGAGCAGGGAGAAGAGCGGAGCAGGGAGCAGGGAGAGGGGAAAGGGGAGCGGTGCGCGGAGATTCCATGCCCAGAGAAGTGAGGAGCAGGGGGAAGAGCGGATCGGGCAGCAGGGACAGGAGCAGGAAAGGGGTGCAGAGAAGGTTGCGCGGAGATTCAGTGCGAATGAACTAGCTACAACACGCAGCAGCAAGCGGACTCTTTCTTTGCCTTGAAAATTACGTTTTCAGACATAGGATATCGCTTTCGTGTCCTGAAAAACGTTTGACTAGCTCTTGGAAATAAAGTACGTGTTCATAATAAGCAGAAGTGACCTGTCCAGGAGTAATTTGGCGACCAATGCGTCAGTCTTTAGACCCTTCGTCTGCTTCAGTTGCGCCATCGCTGGAATGAATCTTCAAGAATCACCTTAGTTTGGCTTCGCTGCTTTTCCCCTTGTCTTCTTCTTTCAGCGACCTCAAAAACGAACTTTCTTTTGCGGCTAACTGCTCCTGGATTCTTGTCGCCATTGCAACAAACTTTGTGTGAACTGCGAGGAAGATATAGGTCAAAAAAAGCCGCTAAGAACTGTTGCGTTGGTGGAGTAAACAGCGTCTGTGCGGCTTGCGTCTGTGGACTGCGTGACAGGCGTACGTAAACCACGTACCGGCGGCGCAGGCAAGTCAGTTACGCTAGAAACATAGGGAGTTTGATTGACAGCCTGTCAGCTCAACAGATAACGAGGCAGTGTCGTTATCTATTGGCAAATGTTTAGCCCCACCACGTCCAGAGTTGATGAATTTTTATTCTCTTTTTTTTGGTCATCATAATTACAAGGCTACTGCACCTCTATAATGCTATCATTGACAACTTGAAACAAAAAAAAATCCTCCATACAACCTTTAACTGACAAGACAGCACAACACATACCATCTCAGCACCACTGTAGCACCAATCAGAGCACAGTCTCGCTGATCTATAATACACAGGAGTATATTATGCACATCTGTAAACACAGGGGAAATGGGCAGGGCTTGCATTCTGTGCCGTCTTGTCTTCTGCACTTATCCTTATCCTGGGACACCTGGGAAAAACTCATAGTAACCTCCAAACAACTTCATCAGTCAATTCTTTCAAGACGTCCCAAAAACATGCTGGACCAAATAGGCTGCTACATATCTGCAAGGGGAGAAAGGCCAAGAATAATCATCCTTCTCCTTTATGCCACAGCATCTCAGTGGAAATTACCCAAATGTTTCCTCAACCAAGAGAAAGCCCTCTGGAAACAGTTCTTCTTCTTTGGGACGGGGACAGCTAAAACACGGAAAAAATGAGCAATTAGCAAAACTATCTTTTGTGTTTAAAGTTACGCTAAAGCTGAGCACGTCTTACCTGTATGAGGCCCAAACACGGCAGTGAGTGGCCCAATCTGAATTGGCCTGGGATTGTCCACCTCCTGAGGCGTGGTGTTTTCAACCGCTCTGATCTTCTTCTTTTTTCTTCTTTTTCTTCTTAGGCCTAGAAGGGAAAGTTGTAAATCACTTGTTCAAAATGAAAATATACTGTTACCCAAAGAAGAAATGAACTAGTGCTCTCTGATACTTAATTTTGGTATCTTTTCTGTCAACAACACTAAAGTCTCATTGCTGCGCTGCTACTTATCCTCCCCAAAGTTAACAAATAAACAATTACAAAATGTCTACCCACAAGCCCATCCTTCCTCAAACAGAAACCTTAGAATGACTTAAAGCCAGTATAAACACATTTCAGGTTATAACTTCTTCTTGAGGCAGGACTAATCTAGTTCCCTTTCACTCTGGGCAGTAAACATTCTTGTGTCTCAGACCAGTACCTTCAGATTGAAAATTGCTTTTGGCAGTCAAAGCATCTGGAGTTCTAAAACACTGCCCAGATGACGACCTCTGAAACCTTTTTTATCAATCAAATAAAAAGCTCACCTGTCACTCTGCAAAGCATTTTCAGGTATTTTCATTTAGACATGGGAGAAATCATTGGCTCTTGTTTAAACTGTACAAAGTAATTGGATACATTCTACTTACTGAATAAAAGGATGCTCCAGGATCTGAGCTGGGGTGATCCGCTGGCCCCGATCCATGGTGAACATTCTCTTCAACAAGTCGATGAAGTCCAACAGCTCGATTTGGCTGTAATGGCCAGTCCGATCAACATAAGCCTGGGAAAGAAAAGTAGTGTTAGGATTTGTGTTTTTGTTCTCTCCCCCTCCCTTTTCTGTTTCAGAGCTTGAGTGTGGCAGGGGGCGTGGCTGGCTTTTTCCGGAGCAGACGAGACACACCTGCAATCAATCCCTTCATCTACCTCAGTATTTAGCCCTGGTCTTCTCATCACCACTTTGCCAGATAATTCCGTCCTGTTCGGTAGCGTCACCAGGCTCTTGGATTTATTCCCGTCTTGCTTATTGTTTGCCCTGGATTTACCTACTCCTGTTTTCTCCCAGGTGTCTCCTGGTCGTCTGCCGTTGCCTCCGGAGAAGTTGGCCAGCTCCCTGCCTCCTCAGCCTGCCTTCGTTTGTAGAATAAACTGCTTAAACTTGACTGTGTTCTGATTCTGCTTTTGGGTCCCTCGTCCCCCACCTTAACAAGTAGGATTTTATATCACTCATGGAAACACAGAAGGGTAATGTTGTCTTCATTTGTACATAGTAGATTTAACCTATTGAAAACATACCTCAATCATTCTATTCAGAGACCTGTAACGGTCAGGGCTGGATAGTCCCGGCGAGGCAGGTCAGAAGAGGCTTCATACTTCTTCCTGGTCTAAATAAATAGAGACATCAGATATATTAGCATGCTTAAAAGAGCAGAATTCAGAATTCAAGAATTAACAATGTTTTTTACCATTATCTTCCAACTGTCACCGACCGCCTTGAAAAACTGGCTCGTTTTCAGGGCTGCACTCAGCATATGGTCGGGAGGCTGACCAAAGAACGCGATCATGGTCTTCAACTAAAGAAACAAAAACAAAAAAATGGAATTAGGCAACATTAATCAGGATTTTTGTAGTGTGTAAAAGTAAAAATAGAAATAAATAATTGGCTTACGGTTTCATATTCTGTCCGACTGGGAAACATGTTGGACGTTACCAGCATCTGGATCATCATGCATCCCAAAGACCAGACATCTATGGCCTCGTTAAAAGGAAGTCCCAGGATAATTTCTGGAGCTCTGTATTCAAATATAAAGTTATGAATACATGTACATATATTCTCAATCAAGCACAGTCACAATACGGCTCACCTATAATGGACTTGTTGGATAGTCATTCCGGGTACTGCCTTCTTTCGCCGTATAAGCGCTCGAAAATCAACCAGTCTGATTTGTGGAGGCTGATTCTTGTTACTGCAAATCCAGATGTTCTCAGTCATGACGCCGCCATGGATGAGCCCACTTGACTTCATTTTATTCAAAGCCATGGCTGTCTGAAATAGTCAAACGTATTAATTATAGTATGTTTTAATTAGAGATTTTCAGGTATTTCAAATGCACATGACAGGTACACTACTCATTTAACTAAAGCATGGTTAACATAATTAGATTTAAGATCTTGCCTATTTAACTAAAATTCTTGCCTATTTTTTACTAGTTTATCATTTCACTTCGTGGTTGGACATAGACAGCAGATGGGCTTATGACATAAGTAGAGGTAATTTCATAACATTAACCTAGCAACTGATAATCTGTCATATGCACTTAACTTCTACACTAAAATTAAGTTCTTACTTGTTGGACAATGGCCTGGATGTCACGAAGCGGCAAAGGAGCGTGTAGCATGTAGCATGTAGTCGCCCAGGCTCATGTTCAGCTTCTCCAAAACCAGGACCTTCCCACGACTGGTTTCCACAACATCCTTCAGTTTGACAATGTTGTGAGTGGAATCCCAGCGTGCAGTCTTCATCAGAATAAGAGCCTAACAGGGACAGACAGAGGGTTAGTGGGACAACAGCATTTGACATTTTAGTTGCTAGCTCAACATAATTCTTAGTTTGACACTTACCTCCCTCACAGTCCTGTTGTTGGAGTATGGCAGTTTGAGAGACACAATCTTCCTCGTGTTCAACTGCCTACATTTGACCGCCTGCCCGAACTGGCCATCTCCGAGCACCTTCAGAGGTTTGTAGTCTTCAGGGAGGACTTCCTTTATCTCCTTGGTCGTCAAAGGCTTGTCGAAACACACGCTAAGGACAAAAATGAAAACAAGCATTTACACACTGTTCTGATTTTTTGGTGGAATATTGTATGCAACAGGATTTTCTTACCTAACATGTTCCTTGTCCTCAGCAGGCAGCGCTTCAGCGGGAGTCGGCTTCACTCCAACATCTGGACATGGTTTCAGTGACGAGCCTCTACCACTGTCCTTCCTGGTGGCACAAGAAGTTTAAGATTACAATAGAAGTCAAACAAAAATACCTCAATTCCATCAAAGGAGCTAAATGTAAGTTTTTCATTTTAAATTTCAAAACTTGACGCATTGGTGTTTGGGCAATTATCCAGTCAGAAAACAGAATGAGCCTCATGCGAGTCTAATTGGGTTGCCAGTTTCAGTGGTGAAATCCAGTTGGTTTAAACATTGCGTTCAACTCGGATTGGCCCAAGGATTCCAGTGACACCTGATTTTTGAAAATCAGACAAACGGGTCAATAGTTATAAGCGTGAATGCATGTCCAACTTTGACCTGTTGGTGGCGCTAGATCTCTTGACCTATTGACCCCAAATTGGCTGTGAGGGACCATAAGCCTGTCCTGAAGCAGTGTGCAGATTTCACAACTTTTTACCAAGGCATTTTATGGGCTGCCATAGACACCAAAGACAGAAATATAATAATAATAATAAAAAGATTGCATACTAAAACAATGGAGTCCTGCAGGTCTCCAATAATTACTGAAGTAACGAAGAAACACACATGGAAAAGTCCAAACTATTAACTGGTAACGTGACAGGAGTTAGCAACATTGAGAGTTAGTGTCTTTCAGCAAACAAATTTTGTCTCACTGTAAACATAGAAGCATGTTGTTGTTTGGGGTTAATCAAAGGCCTGTTGTAGAACGTGCGTTTCCTCTGTTCCGGTGTTGTTCTCAGGAGACGAGTGATGACAGAAAAACTGGGCTTTGTTTGAGCCTCAGCAGGTGTTTCTGTTACAGGAACATCTTAAAACTGTGTACGGGACGTGTCAAGAAGGTATGATTTCCAATTCGTGACTTCAAAAACAAGCTTCAATTCAGAAACGTTGCCGTTGTTGTGCATCTGTAGCAATTCTGTGCACACAAACTCCTGACTAGGGATGGGCATGATTAATCGATTAATTGATAATTGATCAGTAAGAATTTCATCGATTACGTTAATTTTAATCGACAATCCGAATGTAGGTTGCTGGGCGTAGCGTGACCAAACAGGGGTCCGTACATGTGGCTCTCTGCACTCAGAAGGATTGAGCAAACACAAACATTTGGTCAGACTGCAGCGTACCGAAGCACAAATACGTATTTAATGATGACTTGTACAAGAAATTCCACACTTTCCGTTGCATTCGGGACAAGTGTGAGTCCATGTGCACAGTGTACAAAGCAGGAACATATGTCTCAGTGTCCAGTGGGAAAAAGCTTTACCAGGTGAGAGTCGCGCAATGTCGATGACGAGTCCCCACCTCCCTCCCCCCGTACGGTGTCCTGGTTTTGACAAACGCAAATCTGGTCACACTAACCTGTATTCCACTGAGTCATGTCTTTTAATCCAACAGAAACTGACCGCATCAGTGACACAAGAGCTGCAGTTTTATCTTCGCTTAGTTTATGCAAATTAGCGATGCGGTTTTAAGTTTTGTTTCTGTGAGAGTTGCGCCAAACTGCATTAAACACATTATAATGTCAAACGGGCTGATGTGGCTCTAGAGTCGTTACGGTTTATATGTCGTAAAGTTGAATTTATTTATGCAGATTAGTAGTGCAGATAAAAACATTAATGATTAATCGATAATCGATCGTTAATTCTTCCGACGATCGATTAAGAAAATTTCATCGAATGCCCATCCCTACTCCTGACCAAGGCTACTTTATTCCCATCAACAACTTTTGGCTCTTCAAACCTTATTAACCTCGGTATTACTTTAAAGAACATATGCATATTATAGGAATTGTGATTGACTTTTGACCTGGAAAAGTTTGAGTATGATTTCAGGACTTAAAAACTGTGCAGGGTTTCTACCTTTGATGCAACAATCCCAGAGAAATTCAAAAGGCTCTGTATTATTCAGAACTGACTCTTGTGACGTTTAATCCACGCCAGAGTCCATTTTTGGAGGCCCACACCCGCGCAGTACAGCACCACACCCGCCCAGACCTGATAACTTTCCACCCGTTACCTGCCCGTGCCCGTGATGAATCAGGGTTAGACCATTAGTTTGACAGCTCAATAGTCCAGGACTGAACCAGGACTGAACCAGGACTGCACCAGGACTAAACCAGGACTACCAGCAGGACTAAACTAAAACCAACCGGACTAAAACCAGGACTGAACCAGGACTAAACCAGGACTAAACCAGGACCAGGACTAAACCAGGACTAAACCAGGACTGGAAACCAGGACTAAACCAGGACTAAAGGACTAACCAGGACTGAACCAGGACTAAACCAGGACTGGACCAGGACTAAAGCAGTGTCATTAGCAGAAATATATACACGCCAAAACTGAAGAGCCAATCGCCAGGACTACACGAAGACTGAACCAGAACTAAACCAGGACTACACAAGGACTGAACGAGGACTACACCAGGATTGAACCAGGACTAAACCAGGACTACACCAGGACCAGGACTGAACCAGGACTACACCAGGACTGAACCAGGACTGAACCAGGACTGAACCAGGACTGAACCAGGACTGAACCAGGACTACACCAGGATTGAACCAGGACTGAACCAGGACTGAACCAGGACTAAAGGACTGAACCAGGACTACACCAGGATTGAACCAGGACTACACCAGGACTAAACTAGGACTACACCAGGACTGGACCAGGTCTAAATTCAGGACTGAACCAGGATTAAACCAGGACTAAACCAGGACTAAACCAGGACTGAACCAGGACTACACCAGGACTACATCAGGACTGGACCAGGTCTAAATTCAGGACTGAAACAGGATTGAACCAGGATTAAAAAAGGACTAAACCAGGACTAAACCAGGACTAAACTAGGTCTAAACCAGGACTAAACCAGGTCTAAATCAGGACTCTTATCCACGTTACTTCATCAAAAACATGACTTTTGTTGTGTTTTGTCTTCACATGTAACATAACCCTTTATTATTGGCCTTTTACATCTTCAAAGCTGAAAGTTTTCAACCTTTTACCTTTGGTTGAGTAGAAATTGGCAATACCAGAACTGAAAATATCCAAATGATTCTAGTGAAGGTGTGGGGAGTTTCAGAAAACAGGGTAATATGGACCTTTTAACATGAAGGAACAAGTCCTTGCTTCATCTTCGGGGCTCTCCTTGCAGCATTCTGGGTTTGGGCTGGGGTCCCGTGTTGTGACAAAAGCAGCGTGTCTCTCTTTGTGCGGCCTGATGGAGCGCGCTGTAAACAAGAGAACATAATGAAATCTGTTATCAGTGCAGCTCAGCGCCTCGGGGGACTCCTGTTGTCTCCTGCACCAATTAATTCTGCAAATGACTTATGAGTGCGTTAGGCGGGGCGGCGAGGGCTATTACAGGGGAGCTGATTGCATTATGGTGCTGGTATAATTGAGACGCCAAACTGCTGAGGAGAGAGGCTGAGGCAGGAGCCAGGGCTGCACCAACATCCATCCAGGAGTTTACCGCATAGAGGAGCTTTCACAGCGCCCGATCAAATGGTTTTGGTCGCTTATCAAGATTAGTTTTTTGAGATTTTAATGTGGTAGTTTGCAGTAGTCGGTTGTACACGGGGCTAGTATCAAGTATCCAAACTATACACTTATTTGAGCAAGTATCGATGCTAAAAAAGTCACATTCACGGGACAGAAATTAAACGTAGAATGATCTTGAGAGGTATCAGAACAAGTATAATGTTTCCTTAACTTCTTAGGTTCTTTTTAAAGACAGTACAGTAAAGTGTATTTACCTTGTTGACATTTTTGGGCTGCTAGCTGCAAGCCATCTTCAGAACTGTCACTGGTGTTCGTGGTGACGTGTCGTATATCAGCTGTTGTTGCTTCCCAACCTAAGAAGTTCAAGTACATAAGAAGACAAAATGAACATCTTTGGCTTTATCATGTTTCATGTTGAAAATCACATTCTATTGTCTAAATAAAGAATGTTTATAATAAGTGTTTTTTTTTTCATTATCATCGTGGTGTCAAAATCAGTCGAAATTGAGTTTGAATTAAGATACTCATTTGAGCAGGTATCAATACTTAACAAGTCACATTCACAGAACAAAAATGAACCTTTCCTAAACAGCTGTTACATCCTGACAGTTACTCTTACTTTTTCTTTAGTAATATTATTTTGAAGTAATGCTACTCTTACTTGAGTAGAATTTTTGGCTACTCTACTTACCTGTGCAAACCCTTCACCAGAAAAGTTACACATCACCTTTAAAGGTTCTATATTAGGCAAAATATACTCTTGTGAGCTCTAATCTATGTTAAAATATTGTTACTTCATCAGAAACGTACCTGAAGTTGTGTTTTGTTTCATTCACACATGTTTGAGTAACCCTGTATTAGATCCAAATGCTACAAGCTTGGGTCTAGTATCAAGTATTGAAAGTAGAAACTCATCTGATCAAGTATTAATGCTAAAAAGTCACAATTACAGGACAGAAATGAACGTTTTCTTTAGATTGATCTTGAGCTGTATCAGAACAAATATAAGAGCTCATAGACTCGTGTACGCCCATGGACCACAGTATCAAGTCTATTCCTTAGTATCGAAATCAAGTTTGAAGCTAGATACTCATTGGAGCAAGTATCCGTGATAAAGAAGTCACATTCGCAGAACAGAAATTAACCTTTTTTCTTTAATACATTCTGTTGTTTTGAATGGTATCTCTAAGTGCAGCGCTTTGGAAACTGTTTCGTTGAGAAATTGTGCTATACAAATAAAATGGGTTTGGCTAGAATGATCTTGACCAATATCAGAATAGACCACGAGTCCACGAGTTATATGCTCATTTCACCAAGTATCGATACTAAAAAAGTCACAGTCACAGGACAGAAATAAGCCGTTTCTTTAGAATAATCTTGAGCTGTGTCAGAACAAGTATAAGAGCACATAGGACCACTGAGGGATTACACAGATACAAGACTACATGGTAATATAAAATAAAGTACTGCAATTATATTCTGTGTCTGAATAAAGAGTGTTTTTTATCATCATGGTGTCAGAATAGGTATTGAGCACTGATGCTGTGTGCTTCATCCTGAGGCTCCCACCAGACAGTATTGCACACTAATACA